ACCTTAATTGTAAAACAATTGTGGTGCCAAAACTATATTTAGTATAAAATTCTAATTCTCTATTTTGCCTGTACTTAAATATTATTTGTCCATTACTAGGCTGTGTTCGTAAAGTATTAAGACTGCCCTTCAGTGAACAACAATTGTGATACAAACTCTAATTTATCTAAAATTTATACGCTGTGGTCTATTAAGTCCTAAGCGTTATACATATTTATTTGTTAACTTCAATAAATATTTCACTTAAAATTTCTATTTGTCTTTCCTGTTCCCTTCTTTTATTCATGCAGTCCAATAAGTGAAAATTTAGTCAGTCGTCAGCAATCGGTGCCCAACAACCAGTCCCAAAAATGAATGACCAGTTTCCCGAAGCAAGTAGATTTAGGCTAGATGATGAAGTCTACAAACAGATACCTTTTCTTGAGGTTTTGTGTTCTTTTCAAAGTAAAATATCAGAAATGAAATGAGAAGAGAATTAAACTTTTCCAGGTTGTAATTTTCTTTTAATTTCCTTTACTACGATAACCCATAACCGGGTCTAGTTGAAAAATTTGTGGCATGAAACAGCGAAATTAACTTTCCACATTGTCTGTCACAAGTAACTAACGTATTCGTTAAAAAATGAAAAGCTTCTAGCCAAAATCTGGCGACCGAGGGGTCACCAGAAGTCAACAAACAGATGTCTGCTACTGTAGTCCCTGTAGCTCCCACTTGGAGCGGCTCCCGTTCCTCCCCGGAAACAGACCCTCTCTGGGTAAAATTTTGTTGGTCAAGCTGGACTTCAAAATTTGAAAATGTCAACATGAAACTTTGCCGGTTCTCTTAACCTATTTAATCGCTTTGTTTTCAAAATTGGTGGATTATACACAAATTTATTTTTAAGAAGATGAGTTCTTCAGATTCGCCAACGCTTACTTGTCCCATACTATTAGAATGGATGAACGCACAGCAAATGACGACACGCAAAGTCAATTTCAAGAGTGGTTTGTTAAGGATTCTTCGAAATGGCTTCAGAGAAATGTTTCTTGAAATATCCAGCGAAAAATCTGCTACGCACAAGTTCCGCTTGAAAAATATTGCCGTACATTCAAAATTTATGAATGAAGGAAAATGCACCATAAATTTTAAGGATGATAATGCAAGAGCAATGATCTCAAATGCACCTCCTTCACAACTTGTAGAGTTTTTAAAATTGATGTATATCAAGCTGCAAGGAGAGTCTGCAGCGAAAATCAGCTTGAAGGAGAGGCTGGAGGGTAAGGGTGTGATGGAGGAAATTAGCCCCTTGACCTCCAAGGAAGTGACTAAAGCTAAAGATAAGCTTGCGCCCAAGGATACTACCCCTAAAACTGGACTCGCTAAGAAAAGACCTGACAGAGGTCAAAATCGGGATCAATCAGCACAGCCTCCTTCGAAGCGGAGGTGTCTGACCACAGCCATTGAAACTCCACTTACCCCAGAACAGCAGAGAGTACTTCAAGCTGTTGTTTCTGGACGAAATATTTTTTTTACTGGTATGACATCACAGCCCTGTACTATTAATAATTGTCATGGCTTTTTTCCTTAGATTTTTAATACGATTTAACTATGGTCTACAGGCTCTGCTGGAACTGGGAAATCTTTTCTCTTGCGTAAAATCATTGCCTCATTACCACCTGACTCTACGTTTGCCACAGCAAGTACTGGAGTTGCTGCCTGCCATATTGGAGGCTACACATTACATTCTTTTGCTGGTATGGCTATGGATTTTATTCTCTTTAGTTTCTTGGTGTCAAAGTATTTATTTGAATGGAAATATTTTATGTTTTAGGTGTGGGTAGCGGGCAGGGAAATTTGAAAAGGTTGGTGGAGTTAGCCAAAAGACCTCATATTGCTCAGCAGTGGCGAAGATGTAAGACTCTGATAATTGATGAAATCAGTATGGTTGATGGTCGATTTTTTGATGTAAGTATTTTGATTGTTAACATTTTCAAACTTCTTCTAAGACCAATGAACTGCGATTCCTATAAACTTCACATCATTTATTGTAGAAACTGGAGTATGTTGCTCGAGAAGTGAGGTGTAATGATAAGCCATTTGGTGGTATACAGCTGGTTCTCTGTGGAGATTTCTTACAACTACCTCCAGTGAGCAAAAATGACAACAGCGGTGAAGGACAGGCAAAGTTTTGTTTTCAAAGTGAAGCATGGGATCGCTGCAACCTACATTCTTACGAACTGACTGTTGTACACAGACAAAGTGATCCTGTGTTTATTGATATTCTGCAAAATATCCGTATTGGAAGGTACTCAAATCTAATCTCATTTTTGTGGTGCATTTCATTACCTATTTATATTGACTTCGGAAGTGTTTTTTCTTGTGGTTCTTATTTAGTGGTTCTATTTATTTACAGAGTCACACCAGAAATAATAAGCCGCCTTCAAGCTACTGCTAACCACAAAGTGGATTCATCAGGAATTATAGCATCTAGACTCTGCAGCTTAACAAAAGAAGCTCAGCTTATTAATAGCTCCAAACTAGAAAATTTACCTGGTGAGCTGTTGTAAATATTTTATTTTGGCAGGCATGTTACTATAGGATTTACATTAACTAGATTCTTAATTTTCAAAATCATTCCTTTTCTAGGCCCTATGAAAGAATTTCAGGCTAATGATGGCGATCCAACCTACAGCCAAACTCTAGACATGCAAACACCTGTGGAGAGTGTCGTCAAGCTCAAAGTTGGTGCCCAGGTGATGCTTCTTAAAAATATTAATGTGAATGACGGCCTAGTAAATGGGGCACGTGGTGTGGTAGTAAAGTTTTCAACAGAAGGTATGAATAATGTGTTTCTAATCAAAGTCTTGCTATATATATCAACAAGTTTCAATCATGTATACTGAACCAAAACTTCCAGGTTTGCCAGTTGTAAAATTTCGCTCAGGAGAACATACCGTCAAATATGAGAAATGGTCTGTGAAAGTGATGGGAGGTTCCATACTCTCAAGAAAGCAGATACCTCTCAAATTAGCTTGGGCATTTTCCATCCATAAATCTCAGGTATCCATAATTTTTAATTATTGCATTGAACTTACTTTCTTATTTCTAGAATGTGTGCCAATGTAATGCCATGTCACTTATAAGTGTGGTAAGGTGATAATTATCATATCGTCATTAATTTTATTTTGCTTATTTTATTTGCTTGCAGGGTTTGACTTTAGACTGTGTTGAGATGTCCCTTGGAAAAGTTTTTGAGGCTGGTCAGGCTTATGTTGCTCTTTCAAGAGCCAAAAGCCTTGCATCCCTCAGGGTTTTAGATTTTGATCCGAAACATGTGTGGGCTAATCCAGAAGTACTTAAGTTTTATCAAAGAGTTCGTAGAAGTATGATGGCCTTGGAAATGATTCCTCTTGGAAAGAAGAAATAGGTAACGTAATAAATTTAAATTTAATTG